GGTTTACTCTCCAACAGTCACCTATTACCACTCAAAGCTGTGTGTCCTGAGTCAGTCAAGAGTTCTTTTATCAAGAAAGTGCTTATTTTGTAGGGCAGGATTTGGGAGCAATCTGTCTATGGCAGATCTGATCACTATATACCAATAATAATTTAAATTCTTTGCTGAGCTCATGCCCCCCATGGTCTTTGTGATTGTGGCAGGCTGTGAGGTATATTATTTTGATGTAATGACGGTCGTTCAAACTATGTGGCACATGTACCATATATGAGATAGTAGTAAACAACGAAGGTCAGATATTGCTGTTCAACCAATTCAGGCCTGGCCAAGAATGATGGTTTCCTTAATATTTTGTTGCACAACCTTTTTGAGGCCATCATTTGGAATAAATCCTGTAACTGTCAATGATACTTCTGCTCCTCTCAGCAGGTATTCTGGTCCACTACTAGTTTTCTGAGGTTTGAAGGGTGCCAGATGGAAGGTTTTAGCTCCTTCCAAAGATGCTCCATAAGATTCATGTCAGGGCTCCTAGAAGATCTCACTGATTAAATCTCAAAAATCTGCTGAAACATCAATAAAGATTTTCGTTCACCCAAATAATATATGCAACGAGTAATTATGAAGGTAATATTGTTTCCAACAGTGTAGTAGATTAAAAAAAATAATCGGGTCAGCTCAAAATGACTTTATTGGTTCCAAATGGAAAAGTGGAAATTGTAACAGTTAATTATTAACATTTATGCAAAGTACAATTACAGATGTTTACAATTAAAAAAAGCATGAAATCAAATCTGTAAAATTTTGGATTATAGAAAATAAATCAATCGACTTTGTATTAAGATAATTATAGTGCTACATAAAGTAGTGTGTTGTTTAAGGTCAATGAATTAACTGATGAAATCCAGTTTTTTTTTTACTGTGGAGCAGGTTTATACTGGTCGCATCTGTCTCCAGTGAGGTAGGAATCACACTTCAGAGAGTATTTCACTTCTACGTTTCCCTTCCCAGAGCAGGTGAAAGAGCGGCTCCCCTGGCTCAGTTGCTTGGTGCACGAAATGATACGGTCATCTTTTCCCGGGTCCTCGTCCCAAACCTCAATTTTCAGGCTTATTTGTGTGTCCACCTGCAAAATAAGTTTTTGAATGTAGTTTATGAAGTGTTCCACTTTGGGTTCTCTTTTTTTTATTGGCAGTGTTAATTTATAAAAAAAAAAAAAAAAACAAGAGCAATGTACATGATTCTGATTAAAAAACAGATTTCAACTGAACAGTTTATTTAAGAGTTAGTGTTTTTCACTTTGTGCCATAATGACCACTTGCTGTAATCTAAACATTTTCATATTTTACTTGGAAGACAGTAGAACTGATTCAAGGCAAATTTGAAATAAGAAAAGCACTGTAACTGAAAATACTAAAACATTTTTCTGTCCAGGTGAAACCCTGAAATTAGATAAACTGAAGTTTTGGGAATTAAACCTATATCACAGTTAACTTATACTCTAATATATACATAAACTAGTTTTAATTAATAAAGGCTATAGTCACATAAAATAGGGATTGTTTTTTTTTATTGAATTAGGAAGAGCCTTAGCTAATATATAATGAGAAATGATACTTACATGGCCCAAATTATACACAGCATTCCAAGTTGGATTGTTTGATTTGATTGTGCGGGTCTTGTGGTATATGGAGCCATACCACATCTTAACAAAACTGTGAAGAGAACAGGAAGAAAACAAGATATCAATACTGCTTTTATCAATTGTAGAAAGATCTCAATTTTTGTACTGTGCATTAACCCACGCTTTAGTTTTCACAACTGGATCTCCTTTGAGATCCCAGCCTCGGACAATGGTCACAGACAGGGTCCCCTTTGAGGCCTCCCTTGGACAGCAGTTGGTGCCCAGGTTGGGAACACCAGAACAGGT